ATAATAATCAAGATTCCAGAAATTCAGCATAGGAACAGTATACTAAAAGCTGCTAGAGTGCATGTGCAGTGTAACCAACTCAAAAGGTGCTCTGACAAAGGGCACTGAGTGGACAACAGGGCCGTGGCCTCCTGAACTGTTCCCATGTCAGGTTCAGGGAGGTACCCCTTGAGCCAGCCTGCATCCTACAGTAGTAACCGAGCCCTAATGATATAGGGATGATGCTGGACTAGCAGAAAGTCCAAATGATGTAAGGGGGATATCATGACTCCCCACCTGCATGATGTCTGATAGGGAGTCCATGTTCCTCAAAATTGAAGAGTGAATTCTAGAACTCAGTGGAGTTTGAAGAGCAGGAAATATTTATTGCGGTAAAGAAAGCTTCTAAGAGACAAAAGGGAACGCTGAAAGTGGATTGTCCAGGACCCCACTTCTCAGGGAAAGCTTTATAGGGCAAAATTATGAGGTAGGTTTAAGGCGGGACAAAATCATGATCAACCAGTAAGATTACAAGTATAGTTGCTTAGGTAATTTTTTTTTTTCAGCCCCAGGGATTGAACTCAGGACTTTGTGCTTGCCAGGCAGGTGCTTATGCCACTGAGCTATCTCCCCAGCCCTGCTTAGGTAATATTGATCCAGTGGGGAAGCAGGTCACATAGCAAATATACCTGGAAAGAACAACGACTGTTTCTTGGAAGGTCAGGTCAGGGATTCATCCTCCCTCCTTAGGTGACTAGTGGCTATTTAGAATATCAATCATTAGTATCCCTCCCTGGGGAAGCATGTAGGCATAGTATTCCAGTCTTTTGTCTTGAGGTGTGATCTCTAACAAACGTGGCTCCATCCACAGCTACAATGCATTCCATCTTCTGCACGGCCCCTTGGAGGGCCTGGCCGTCTGACTGCCTATAGTATTTCTACCTAACTTAGCTATTTATTATACCAGCGCCTATGGACAGTGGAGGAGACAGTAAAATTAGAGGCTGGGAGCAAATTACAGAGGGTAAGCGGGTGGTGGGTTGAGACAAGGAACCTCTCATTAGCCTGACTCAAGGATGAAGGCCGAAGGCCAGGGAGGGCACAGCCCAGGAGGCTTTGCCACATGAATGCTCCGGGGCCCCAAAACGGCTGTCTCTCGCTCTCTGATCCTGCTCGACCTCGTCTTTCTGCACGTGGCACTCCTCAGCTGTGAACTGGGGCTCAAGACACCCCCCAGCTCACAGGGTTCAAGGTGGATGATCAACCAAGTAGACCAGAACCCCTAGAAATGTCTCCCACAGTCCTGCTAAATGCACGGGTGACACTGCTGGGCCTTCAGGAAGAGATTAGACCACAAGGGCTCTACTCTGTCAAGGGAGTGAATCCATTGATGAGACTGATTTAATGGCCTCATTGGGAGGTAACCGGAGGAGTGGGATGGCTCTTTCCCCTCCTGCTTCCAGGCCACCACCCCAGAGCCACAAGTTCTCTGTGTCACCTTAGGCCCAAGATAGCAAGGTCAACGTGAAATCAGTGAATTTGCCCTCCTTTCAGTGATGGGGAGCAAGCACAACCAGACACTTTATTATAGATGCTAAATTACTTAGAAACTTTGGAGCAGTCAGGGAGGGCCAGGCCTACAGAAAAGGTCAAGCAGTGAGTCCTCAGGAAAGAGGAAATGAGCACAGCCAGGTACTTCCCCTCGGGATGAACAGCAGTGACTGATAACAGGCATGGCCAGGTGAACAGCAGCGATTGTTAACAGGCACAGCCACCCTGGCTGGGGAACCAAACCTCCCTTGCAGGAAAAGAAGTCCATGTACACTAGCTATGTGACTTGCTTTCCCATTTAATCAGTAAAACCGAAGTGATTATACTTGTGATCTTACTGACCAGGTCAATGTTACCCAAGCAACTATAATCCTATTGCTTGACTATAGTTTTGGCCCACCTTATGTTTACCTCACTTCCTGGCTTTGCTCTACAAAACTCCCTTGAAGTAGGGTGTGGTGGAGCACATCTGTAATTACAGCACTTGGGAAGTTGAGGCAGGATTGCTGCAAATTCAAGGCCAGCATGGGTTACACAGTGAGTTCAAGATCAGCCTGAACTTCATAGTGAAACCCTGTCTCAATAAAAAGACCGAAAAACACAAGCCTTTGAGAAGTAGTGTCCCTGGCCTCCTCCTGTCTCCCTTAAGATAGCTTTTCCTTCTCTCAATAAATACTTCCTACTCTTAATCTCTGTTATTCCTAGAATTTTTTTTTTTTTTTTTTTTCATGTGGAACCAGGGATTGAACTCAGGCCCTTGTGCTTGCCAGCCAAGCACTTATTCTACTGAGCTATCTCCCCGGCCCCTAGAATTTATTCTTTTGATTTTAGAGAACATGAACTTGGCATATCAGACATCCAGCTGGTTAGTAGTTGTATTTCCCTAGGGCTGGCCAAATAGCTCCACGGTTTAAAGCACCTGCAAGCAGGCACAGGGGCAGAGGGTTAGATCCCCGGGCCTGCTGTGCTGGCCCCGCCCCGGAGGTGGGCTGAGATGGCAATTGAGACTGGGCATGGTGGTGTGCACCTGTAATCCCAGCTCTTGGGAGACTTGTAAACACAATTACTAGGAGTCCGATATAGTAGTGAGACCCTGAACACCCTGTAGACCCTTCCCTAAAACACACAAAAAAAGTTGTATTTATCATATAGTATTTGGAGGTCCTGTTACCATTCCTTTATTAACTTGGACTGTATCTGGAAGCACTGACTAGGGGTAGAAGGTAGGAACATTCCAGCCAGGGAATCAATCACAGGAGAAGTGGGTGGATGGGGTGCAGGGACTGTGAGGAGCCCTCGCTCTCATGGACCAAGAGAGGGGACAGCAGAGGTGTGTGTGTGGAGTCCTTCAGCTACACTTCGTGAGGGACCACCCCGTATGCAGTACAGAAAGCACAAGAGCACCATTTCATTCACTGGGCTGTGTCTGCAGGCCGGGAATCTGGACGATAGGGTTGGGTATGTGGCCCAGTGGTAGTCTGTGTAGCACACACGAGGTCCTGGGCTCCAATCTGGACAGCACTCCATTTTACAACGCTGAGGCATCAGCTGTGAGATAGGAGTGTTTCTCGGGAACAAGAATGCCAGGGTCTGGGCTGGGTGGTGGAGCACATGCTTGCATGCAAACTAAAACTGAACAGAAGTTCCACTGCACCAGCCACATTTCAGAACTGTCCAATTTGTTAAGTAAAGACACATGACGCTGAGTGACATGAGCACAGGGGCAGAAGGGCAAGATGCACTAGACACAGCTAGATGAGGGAGACAGCACAGTGCTTCACCGTCACTTACTGCTGCTGGGGCTGCATCTCTAAGACTTGGAACTTCCCATCTTTGGCCTTAGCAGGACAGCCCCAGGGGGTTCATGGATGTGTCCACCTGAATGCACAGTCCACTCCTGCCACTGCTTGTTTTGAGACAGGGTCTCACCATGTAGTTCAGGCTGGATAATTCTCCCATGGGTCTCTGAGAGCTGTTTCAAAGGGTTGCTGAGATTGTGTGGAACATTTGCCTGCCACGGAGGTCCTGGGCCTGACCCCTAGCAAGGAAAAACACACCCAGAGACGAAACCCCCTATTCCAAAGGAGACAAGCAACAGCTGGAAACCTCTGGAAATAAACATAGGCCTACACCCTGAATCATTTTCTATAAGCTTCACATATATATAGATGAAGCAAAGCTCCCTGAAAACACCTGTCAGAGCAGGATAAAGCAAGGGACTTTCTACTATACTTGTATACCATCTCATCTCTTGCTGATAACCATTATCTTTTTTTTTTTTTTGTGGGGCTGGGGATTGAACTCAGGACCCTGCGCTTGCCAGGCAAGTGCTTATTCTACTGAGCTATCTCCCCGTCCCCCCTTTTGTTTTTCGTTCATTTGAGACAGGGTCTCTCTACACATTTCTGGTGGCCTTGAGCTCACTGTAGCCCAGGCTGGCACCCAATCACAGTGATCCTAGCTGCCAACCTCCAAAGTGGATTGGACCTGAACACTGAGACCCCAAAGCCAGAAACCAGGAGCTCACAGTAACAGCTTTTATCACCAACTCTTGGCTATCTCCTGGTCAAATACAAGATGGGGTTGGACCACTGCAAACTGCAGTAGGCCCCATGGGCAGGCAGGGCTGCTGTTGCCATGTCTCCAGCAGGAAGGCCAGATACCACCCAGGCCAGTGACAACATTCTCATGGTGGCCACACTGCATCGGGTGGCTGACCCAGGCTGATGGCCAGTGATAGCTTTACCCCAAGTGCAGAGGTAAAGTGAGCCTCCGCAGGAAGTCAGTCTGGGCATTGTTTACTCACAGCCTGCAGTATCCCCAAAGGCACAGACCTGGGTGATCCCATCTGTTCTGTTCCCCATGCCCCTGCCCCACCCCCCAAAGAGAACCTTAATAAAGGACTGGTCAAGAGCCTTCAAGAATGGCATCTCCAGAAGCCATCTTGCCATGGCCAAGGGTTGCCTCAGGGTTTCCTTGTACCTCCAGGAAACATCTAGCCTCATCACAAAACCACTCAGCAGCAGCATAATTTGTTTTATTTTAGACTTTATATAAAAACAGAAGCCCGGACACACACGCCCCTACCCCAGGGAGGGCTCATAACCTTCCTGCACAGACGTGGCCATGCTGTCCCCATAGAGCCACAGATGCCTGTCCTCTCTCAGCTATCTACAACTGAAGCTGGGCTCGGAGGGCACGTAAGGACACATATCGTCCAGCCCCACAGCACAACAGCCCAAAGCAGTGGAATGCACCTTCTGCAGCGTGCCATGTGTCAATGTTGGTGTGTCCAACCTGAGCCACACTGCTAGGGACAGCACCTGTGTGTGCACAAGGCTCCCACCCTCCTCGGTGACAGGAGAATCCAGTGTTCAGGGGCTGCCAAGCTGAGGTATTAAATGCAGAATAAAAATTAGTCACATCCAAGTAACATGCAGTAAAAATGTTTAAACCAACATGGTTAAATGTTAAGATTTTTAGAAATCAAAATATTTATTCACATAATTGTAAGCTAAAGTCAAAGCTAATCATCTACAGCAAGGACGACGAAGTGCAAGTGGCGCTGGCTTCTCACAAGTCTTCCTCTGAGGCAAGCAGACTGATAGTCATAGTCAGTTGCTCTTGAACAAGTCAATGCAGCTCTGCAGGAGGGAGACATTGTTCTGGAAAGGAAACCATGCCAAGGTCAGGGCAGACCAGCGGCTCTGCCGCAGAGCAGACCCATCAGGACGCACCCAAGAGTGAGAAGAGAGCACCAGAGCGGCAGCACATGCCCATATCCTAGCTCTTGGGAGGCCGAGGGCTGGGCCGGGCCCTGGCTCCGTGTCCAGTACTGGCTGCCCTGAGCCATGGGTGAGGTTATCAAAATTAAGTCATAATTAATCCTAATGACTACAAAACTTGCATCCCTGCGTTCTTGCTTTAAAGAAATTTGACAAACAATAAATATAAACAGGAGAAAGATGTGTTAGGTACACGCCAATACCAATTAAAAGCACTCTAGACAAATTTATGTATTGTGACACAGCTCTAATAGGAAGCTCACCTAAGAAACCGAGGGCAGCCTGTGCTGCCCACTCCCTGCCCAAGGCCCCACCTCGCCCAATGAAGGAAGGGCCGCCACTGCCAGCTCCTCTCCAAGGGACACCAGGCTCCAGGCTGACCTAGAGACCACACCAGACAGCAGACTGGAGGAAGGGGAGCAAAATGCACTCTTGGAGATTGAGGACCACAGCACCCCAACCTTTTAAAGCCTTATCATCTGCCAGAGGCCCCACAGAAAACACTACTCTCCCAATCCTGCACTCAACCAAGCTGCAGAGGCCAACTCTACACAGTAGGAAGCTAAAGGCTTTGCTTCCTCTTAAACCAGAAAGGCGTGCTGGAGGGCAAATAGCAAAGGAGAGAAGTTTCTTCTACTGGGTACTCCAGGACAAGCCACAGCACTGAGGAGCCCTCACTCGATCCCTGGCAGGATGCGCACTGCAGCATACAAGGCCCCTCCACACAGGGAACAGGGCCTCCCCAGGACACTCCTCCCAAAGCATTTCAGGACGGGGCTTCGGCTTGCAGCAGCTAAATCAGCACTGAGACCCCACAGGGCCAGGGCCAGTGCCTGATCTGTCTGCAGCAGTACTCACTCTGGCATGCTTGATTTCCAGCTCTGACATCTCTATCAGATTCTTCCTAAATGCTGCCACTCTCTTCCGTTTGAAGTTCATCAGTTCTACAGAAAGAAAACATTCAAATGTTACCAAACCAAGCCAAGAATCCATACAGAATTCACATTCACAGAACCTTTACTTTTCTTTTCTGGCAGCGCTGGGGATGGAGCCCAGAGCCTCACACATGCTAGACAAGCATTTTGTGGCTCAATCTCCCCAGCTCATTCTGCCTGAGATGAGGCCTGACAAAGTTGCCAGACTGGCACTGAACTTTCTGGGATCCTTTTGCCTCAGCTCCCCGCAAGTGGCCAGGATTCCAGCCATCACAACTGCAGCTGGCCCCAGTATCATTCCCACAAAAGATCGACAAAACCTTCTTGTCCTCAAAGTTTCTAATCAACTGGGCCTAGGACAGAGGTCTTAGGGTCACTGTGACCACAATCAGCACAGACCAGTCAGTCACCAAGCCCCTGAGAGCACCTGTGCTCAGCAGCCTGAAATGCAGTCACAGGACCTCACACTGCATTTCTCAAGTACATAGCACCCACCCATTACAGCTCACTCTTAAGAAAAAGGAAACAAAGAACTGCTGTTCTCTAGGCTTGTTTCAGATCTGATCAGTTCAGGCCAATGTGGGGGAGCACATGTAGAACCCCAGACCATGGAAGGCTGAGGCAGGGAATCACAAATTTGAGCCCCATATAACTTAGTGACTCAGTAAGACCTTTCCTGTAGCCAGCAGCCCACTCTGGCAGGAAGGAGGGATGAGGAGCAGAACAGGGGCAGCTTGCAGGTATGCGTGGGAAATGCCTACCTGGGCACCCATTCTTCAGAATGAGGGGTGAGGGGCACAGAAGACAGCACCAGACCACCTACCTACTTGTGAGATGACCTTTGGGAAGGGTGATGGCCAAGGTGAAAACCAAACACTGTTCCAGGGCAAAAGACAGCTGCCAGACCAGAAACAGCGGTATTTTTGGGACAGAAGACTATGCACATAGCCAAATCTGTGTGGTCCCTAAGAGTCAGGTATACGCTCATAAACACGCATGTGAGGAGGGCAAGGGTATGCAAGTGACAAAGACTTGGACAGGCACTGACAACTTATGACCTGCAGAAGCCACAGGTGTCTCTATACTTGGGCGCAACTCATCCCTGATTTCCACATTGAACACAAAAGGCCCAAAAGAGGGGCCAGCCAGATAGCTCAGCGGATTAAAGGGACCAGGGTTTGATCCCCAGTGCGCTGTGCTGGCTCCACCACCCACCCCACCCCCTGGTAGGCCAAGATGGTGACTGAGACTGGGCATGGTGGCACATGCTGGTAATCCTGGTGCTTTGGAGGCTGAAAACAGGAGGATCTACTTGTAGTCAGAAGGCTGACTACAAGTCCAACCTGTGTAGTAAGGCTGTGTACTGAATACATAAAATAACTAAGTAAGAAGGCCCAGAAGAGTGGCCCTGCTTAACCTTCCTTTGCTGACTCCGAGAGCTGCTCGAACTTCTGACAGCACTGCTGCTGGTGTGCCTCGGCCACCTTCACGTCCCGGCTCTTCAGTCGGGCCTTGTCCAGAGCTTTGTTGGAATTCTCATAGTCAATGAGGGCTTTGGTGCGTCTGTACAGAAGGTCCTGGAAGGAGAGGACAGCAATGACAGACCTCAGGAGAACACAGCGGGAAGAACAGGTGGTAGGCCAGTGCCCACGCCACCTGAAGTGCTACATATGAGCTGTCCCAAGATTCACAGAAGAAGTACCACTTCTCCAGAGCTTTTCACACAGCTGTGGTGAAAAAGCCCAGAATAGAGACAAAACACACCCAGTTGCTGCTGGGGGTGTTGAGGGGATGAAGCCACTCTGCGAGCCCACTTCTGGGAACCCAGAGCGGTCCCACTCACTTGAACACTCTGTGGTCTCATAGGAAAGCAGAGGTTCCCACATGTGCAGTCACAGTGCATGCGACATGGACTGTACAATCTCTAAAATGTTCAAAACTGGCAGAGTTGTGGAAGCTCACTGACATTGTATCCACTATTACGTATGTGTAGAAAATATGAAATAAGCTCTTATCCTGTGAAACTAGGAAATATACCACAAATTATCAGTTTAAATCTTAAAACCCTGGCAGATGACAGCAAGCAATGTGTCAAAAGGCCTGCGGCCACAGGCACACATGCTGCACACACAAACATCCGAGTGGCCCTGGCTCTCCTGCATCAGAGCAGCCACAGGGTGCCTGGGCTCAGATTCCCACCCAGCCCAGCCTGACTCACCTTGGCAGCCTCGATGTTGAGCATGTAGTAGCGGAGCAGCTCTGTCAGCTTTAAGTCTTCGTCTGAGGAGACACGGCCCTCCACTTTCTGGTTAAACAAGGGAAAAGTCACTATCAATGCAAATGTCTCCCAACTACTAAATTTATACCATCAAGGACACAAAAACCTTACCCGAAGTTTTTCAAATAGCTCAGCAACCTTCAATAGGTACCTGAAAATGTACACAAACAAGGCAGCCATATAGTCCTACATTTGATTATCCTACAGTATGACCTTATCAATGCTCTAATGTAAACATCTCCCAAAAGAAATACCCAGGATGGGGAAATGGGAATAAAAAAACTCAGTACTGGTCTAAGGGTCATATATTAGTCTCATAACCAAATCCCTTCAAAAAGGTAGGGCACCATCAAGCCAAATGGCAAGAACCAAACTGCCCAAGAACATGAGCCAAAATTCTCTCCGAAGTGACCACAAGGGCTGGTAAGATGGCTCAGTGGTCTAAAGCACCTACTTAGAACAAGCTTAGCAAAGCCCAGGGACCGCAGTTCAATCCCCCAGCACCACATGCCAGCCAGCCCTGCCCCCTGGTGGGCTGAGCTGGCCACACACACATACACACACACTAATTAATTAATTAATTAATAAAACAACAACAACAACAAAACAAAAACAAAGTGACCACAAGATCACTATCCTGAGAAGAGACATTCAGCGTGACAGGACACAAGACTCTGATGAGGACTGCATCTGTCCGGGAACTGCCTCACACCCACGTCTCAAACTGCAACTCACTGCTGGGAAAGCGCTTTCCAAACACTCACTTCTTGATGATGGTGGGCTCCTCCAAGGCCAGGCTGTGCAGGCAAGCTGCTGTGTGGATGTAGTCATCAGCAACACCTGCAGAGACAAGCACAGCCCTCTGCAAAGGGGAGCAGGCATGGCAGGACCCCTACAGCAGCAAGGGGTGGGGACTTACTTTTATGCGCCCGGGTCATCCTGTCAGCTTTGCCACAGGAGTCCTTGATCCTGTTGTAGTAGTTAACCAGGAAGTTCTTCTCCTGCTCAAAGAAGTCATCCACCTCCTGAAAGGAAGGAAGAGGAAACACAAGCAGAAACCCAACACATGAGGATTTGTTTCATATCAGAATAAACACTACGGGGGGAACTACCCTCTTGGGCCCCCCTCCTGTCCCTCTCTTAGACAGGAGCTTTCTTTCTCTCAATAAATATATTCTGCTCAGAACCTCCATTTGTTTCTAAAATTCATTCTTCGGATTTAGAGAACACAAACTTGTGCAGGTCAGGTCAGGAAATCGTTTTTCCCTACGTCATTTGGAGGTTCCCTATATGATTTGGAGGTCACCCACCCGAGATCAGTTTTTCTCCCTGTATCATTTTGGAGGTTTCCACCGAGATCCCTGGACGGAGGTATGAGTTTGCTTTTCTTTCATAAATTCTGGATTGAGACGTGCTTAGGTAACAAATTTTTATACAGTTTTGTCTCATAATACTGTTAAAATTGTTTACCATAGTTTTGTTCCACCTCCTGCCCACCTAAGTGAGTTCCCATTCTCTCTACCTTAGCCTCATATGGCTTTACACTATAAAAGTCCCTGGAAGAGATAGCTTCCTGGAGAACTACCCACTCGGGCCCCCTTCCTGTCCCTCTCTTGGACAGGAGCTTTCTTTCTCTTAATATATTCTGCTCATTAAAAAAAAAAAAGAATAGGGCTGGAGAGATGGCTCAGTGGTCTAAAGCACCTACTTGGAACAAGCTTGGCAAAGCATAGGGACCGCGGTTCAATCCCCCAGCACCACATGCCAGCCAGCCGCGCCCCCTGGTGGGCTGAGCTGGCCACACACACACACACACACACACACACACACACACAATGTTAAAATAAAAAAAAAAAAATTAAGAAAAAAAAAAAAAAGAATAAACACTATGGCAGGGAAATCAGAATTCAGAACTCAACAGACTGAGGACTTTCAAATCTAAGGGACACTACCTGACACTCAGGACCAGCAAAACGGGGTGCTGAGAGGAAACCAATGGACAGAACTTTTCTGAGGAGTATCTGCCAGTGCCAGGAATGCAGACACCAAGACCCAGCAAGTCCACACTCCAGGACAGTGGTCCTGTGAGTGCATGCTCATCACAAGCTGGAGGATTTGCTAGCATTTAACCTGGCTCACTTCAGGCCATGGCAATCCGCTCACCCAGCAGATGCCAAGCATCTTCCACTGCATACACATAAGGTACCCACTGCCTTGCCCTGTGCTGGTTTCCAAACTTCCACTGCCGTCCTCCTGCCCTGTCAGGCCTAGATGAGCAAAGTCTGTGCAGGGAGGAGCTCTAGTGAGGCCACACGACTATAGCTCAGGCAACAGAACTATTCTAACACTTGCATGGTGCTGGCCACAACCAACAGGTGAAAGTAATTTTAATATTTCACTGCTCTAAAAATGTAATTTCAGGTCAATATTTGCAAGATTTTTTCTGCTCTTTTCTTTGGGGAATGACATGCAACACTGACTAATCACCTTATTCCTTTGTTTATTTAAGACAGGGTCTCACTATGTAATTCAGGCTAGCCTTTAACTCATGATCCCCCTGCTTTAGCCTCTTGGACTTAGGTGTACACCACCAAGCCCAACTCATTCTGCCTTTCAGAAGTGAGCAGCCTCTGTCCTTGCAGAGGAGAAAACTAAAGACTTGAGTGGCAAGGCTCACGTTAGCCCTGAGAGGACAAGGCTCTTCTGGGGAGGTGACAGCGGGGATGAGGGGAGGCCAGATGGTGGGATGCTATACAGAGGAGCCCTTCTGCCCATGCCTCTCTTTTCTCTTGCTGCCTGAGCTCAGAATCCCCATGGCTGAACAGAGGTAACCTCTTATCCTCTAAGCTCAGGCATCTTGGTTGTGTTCTTTAACAAAGAGTCACGTCTGAAAGTGATGTTGACTACATCACAAGGACCTTGTAAGGTCAATTCACCCAGCCCGAAGCCCTTACCTTAACCCCAGAAAAGAGAACTTCATCAGCACTCTTCACCACACTCTTGAAAAACCCACCAAACACCTCTTTGGTGTTCTTCCGCCTGACACTTAGCTATGAAAGAAGGAAATCACAAAAGATAAGTTATATGGTTTTCCTAAAGATCCACACTGATCCCGTGTAGCATTCCCAATGCCACTGTACTAACACAGCAGGAGCATCAGTCTTGACCAGGCCCTCCCACAGCCCAGGGTCCCTGGGATCTGCAGCTATGCAGCACCTAGCTTTCGGCTTCCAGGTCCTGGCCATAATCACTATGCTGCCGCTCTAGCCTACACTGTCTATTAGGTGCTCAGTGTCAGGAGATACTGAAGAAATGTGCACATAAGGGCTCCCCTCATTATAACTCAAAAAAATTTAACAGCAATTTTTTAGTTGCCCAGGCTAGACTTAAGACTTGTGATCCTCCTGCCTCAGACCCCTGAACAGCTGCACTGATAGGCACATGCCATCTTACTGGCTAAAGCCTATTGTCAAAAGCCCAACCACACATTTTAACTCTAAGGACCACAGAAATGGAATAAAATTGCCTTACATCCTGATCATATTCCAGGAAAACATGGAAGTTGCGGTCTTTACTGAGAATGGGGTGAGAAGAGAGCCGCTGAAGAAAGACTTCATGGGAGGACACAGTCTTCTTAAAGACAGCGAGATACTCCCTGCAAAGACACCACAGGACCTGCTGACAAGACTGTTCTGCCCGCCCTACTTCAGAAATACCTCACCTAAACCAGTGCAGCATTTGGTCTAACTTGGTCTCCAGTCAAGAACTAAATTTAGAAATGTGTAGAACGAATGAGTTGGGAAGGAGGTGGTGCTGTATGCACCTGCGGGACAGGCTAGGCCTGGGGCCATCTATACCCAGGTCACTACAATCACCCAGCCGCACTGGGCTGCATAGGTCCCAGGAGGACAAAAGAGCTATGGAGACTGAGCTCGAGGCACTCTTTTCTCTTGAAGGCCAGAGTGCTTCTGAGCCAAGAGGCAAGAGGATAGGATAGGAAAACCTAGCCCCAAAGTCTACCTCATATCTGTTAAGAAAAACTCAGTACCCAGGATTTTCTTAACCTTTCAGACATTTAAATGGTACTCTATGCAGTTTTAGAGTTCACATTTAATTTGTTTTTTGTTTTAAAGTCAAATACCAGTAGTTAAAGAACACCAAATCCACTTTTTTGTTTGAGACAGGGTCTTGTTATGTAGCTCAGGCTGGCCTTAAACCCAGTGATCCTCCTGACTCACCCTCCCGAGTGCTGGGATTAGAAGGCAAAGAATCCATTTTTGCTCAAAAACTACAATCAGCTTAGTATGGCGTCTGGGACCTCGGCCCCTCTTAACCATCAGAGCAGTTACTTAGATCATCCTAGTGGCACTTGCAGCAATGTAGTTTCTTTGGTACTTCCAGTAACCACACTTCAAGAGAAAATAATCTTGGTACCAGCAGCCTGAAATGTATGAAGAGCCAAGTGTGATGCTACAAATTTGTAATCTCAGCACTCAGAAGAGGCTGAAGTGGGAGGACTGCTTTAAGTTTGAGGCCAGGCTGGACTACAGATTGGCAGAAATCCTCTGCCTCAAAACAAAAATAACAAAAGTACATCAAGAAACAAGTTTGTTTCTTTGTTCTGTTAAGGCCCACAGCCTTAACACGTATACCCCACAAGAAGGGAAAAGCAGTCTGCACTATGACCATGAGGAACACATCCCATCCTCAGTGAAATGTACTCTCTTAACAGCAGCAGGCAACTCAGTTATGCTGAAACAAAATAAAACCCAACAGAGCCTAGCTCCAGGTTCTCTTAGGTATACACAGTGCTGCTTCACTACCTCTCAGTGGTGCAGCCAGAGGGAAAGCACTTACGCCTCCAGCTCCTGCTTCATCTTGGCAAATTCCTCCTTGGTCATGGACCCTTCTCCCTCTCCCAGCTTCTGCATCTTCTCACGAGGGCCATCAAAGTCCGGCTTCGTAGGAGCTGGAGGAATCTACAGCAGGAAAGGGGACAGTGAGCATTGTGCCGCACTGGCCTCATACCCATCTTGCCAGATGACTGCATGTTCAGGTACACACAACTAACTGACACAAGAGCCAGTGAGAAATGCTCAGTGGACTTAGAGCTTGCTTAGTCAAGTGCAGAGACCAGGCACACTGAGCTGGCGATCCTGGACATGGCGAGAGCACACCTGTAATCCCAGTGCTAGGGAGGCTAAAAATAGGAAGATCACGAGTCCAAGCTATGTAGTGAGACCCTGTACCAAATACATAAAAAAGTAAAACACCAAACAAGAAAATCAAACTACCTGGCAGAGCACATTTCCAGGGATAGTTCAGTGGCATAACTGCATGCCTGGCAAGTGCGAGGTCCTGAGTTTGATTCTCAGTACCAAAAAGGGAATTTTAATTTGAAAGAAGTCAGCCTGTGAGGAAGGGGGGGGGGGGAGTGCATAGTAAAATCAACACTAACATCAAAAGTTATCTTTCTACCTAATTCCAGAAGGTAACCAAGAGTGTCATTTCAAGAGCCAGCGAGATAGCTCAGCAGTCTAAAATGCCTGCTTAGGCAAGTTCAGGCAGGCGCAAGAAACCACAGTTGGATCCCTGGCACCACAGGATGCACCAGCTCCACCTTCAGGGCAGGCTGAGCAGACCAAAAAAAAAAGTGTCATTTAGAAAAGCACAAGTGTTAATCACCGACTTTATTGTTATTAGGAGATCAGAATTCTTGGTCTCCCAGCAGCTCAGGATATACTCAAGCCTCATTTGTAATCACCCAAGCCCTATTCCTACAGGCAATGGCCACTTTTCTCTTCTCACACCACAGGCCATCCTTCACTCTGTGGGACCAGACAAATCTTACTGCACACTGTCAACAACACTGTTTCCTAGAAACCAATTCTACTGAGGTCAGAGAAAAGAGGAAGACCAAGCAGAAAGGTAGATGTGAATTATGAAACCATTGACCTCACAGTATACAGTGTTATGTGAGCCTCCCACATTATTCTTCAAGTATTTCAGACTTGAACTCTGGGCATTATTTCCCTTTCGAAACAAAGTATACTCACAATAAGCCCTGCGTAGTCTGTTGTTTCAATGAGAGTGTCATGTAGCCACACGAAGTCCTCATGTTGCCTTGTAACAGAAAACTCTGGACTCTGAAATGCAGGTAGTGTAGTCTGTGGAGACAAGGGGACCACTGACTGATAAGAACCACTTGAGACACCCTGGACAGCACTGCAGGAAAATTCTGTTTAAAACAACAGTCAGCGCCCATAAAGAACAAAGCATCCAGCACTGATGAGGCAGAGGCAGAAGGATCGCTGCAAGTTTGAGGTCAGCTTGGCTACACACATATTGAGTTCAAGGACAGCCTGAACGCAGCAAGACCTTGTCTCAAAAAAGAACAATACTACTGCATCTCCCCACTAAGAAAGCTAATAACCGATACTCAAAATTGATTGCTAAAGATACACTTTTTAAAAAAATACCGTCTTCCCTTTGTGAAGTTTGCCATGAACATCCAACCGAAGTGACAATAATGTACCAATTTAAAAAAGTCCCAGGATGGGCTGGTGAGATGGCTCAGTGGTCTAAAGCACCTACTTAGAAAAAGCTTAGCAAAGCACAGGGACCGCAGTTCAATACCCCAGCACCACATGCCACCGAGCCCTGCCCCCTGGTGGGCTGAGCTGGCCACACACACACACACACACACAAATAAATAAAATTAAAAAAAAAATAAATAAAATTAAAAAAAAAAATAAAGTTTAAAAAAAGTCCCAGGAAATTAAAGCCAAAGGCAGAGGAACCTAAAGCATGGGTAGGAGTCATGCTGCTGCCCAGGGCCTATTTTATGGTCACAACATTGGTCGGTGAAGCGACTGAGATGGAAGGTACATCTCAGTAATTGCCTGCACCCCTACAGACAGCATTGCACCCACTTCAGCTAGAGGAGTCTCTTCCTACATGTAAGAAAGGCAACAAGCACTCTCACTCACCTTGGTGTGCACCGTGAACTTGACCTTGTCCCTCTCACTCAGTGCATCGGGTATGTCAATTTGCAGTGAAGGGTCAACGTTCAGGTCCACAGACACAGATCTTAGCTGAAACAGTATTTCAATTATTCATCTCATCATTCTAGCTCTACAGAGTATCCTTCAAAAATGCAAGATAGGGACTGGGAACATAGCTCAGTGGCAGAAGCGCCTGACTGGAAAGTGTAAGGTCCTAATGAGTTTGATTCCCAGGCACACATACCTCCCCCACCCAAATGAAAGGCAGCAGTGCATAGATAGATCACCGAGAGTAAATTCAGAGATTTGGAAAGGAAGGAAAACTATATTCAGTCTGCTCCTGACAGCTGAGACATCAAGACAGAAAGGGTTTTTATTTTTATTTTTTTTTTATTTAGTGTGTGTGTGTGTGGCCAGCTCAGCCCACCAGGGGGCGTGGCTGGCTGGCATGTGGTGCTGGGGGATCGAACCGTGGTCCCTGTGCTTTGCCAAGCTTGTTCCAAGTAGGTGCTTTAGACCACTGAGCCATCTCTCCAGCCCCCAGAAAGGGTTTTTTAAAAAATGGGGGCTTGCAGGTTAGCTCAGTTGTTTACAGCACCTGCTTGGTCAAACTCAGGCACAGGGGACCGCAGTTTGACTCGCAGCGCCACATCTGCACCCCACCCACACTTAAGGCAGCCTGAGCCTTTAAAAAAAAAAAAAACTACCCTCAGCAGAAGCCAGAAGCCCATAGTGAAAGCATAGTGGGAGTCCTGTGTGAGCTGGAAATTTAAGAGGGAGAACTGTACGACCCTACTTTTGCTAATTCAAATATTTTTCTTCAGAGTAACACAAATAGTACATACAGGAAAACATGGTTAAATGATTTTCCTGCTCAATTTAAAACAAGGTGAATTCTCTTCATCAGGTGGTCAGGTCCAGCTTCCCTGTTCTGCTTTCTGTTCCTACTGCTGAGGTGAAGCTGCCCAGACCATTAAGACAAGAGAGCTAAAAACATTTTTCTCTCTGTAAACCTTCTAAGCACTTCCCTTTTCTTAAAGTACTGTGACTTCTAACATGTTTTTCTTCAAATTATAAAAGTACACTACCCATAGCCTTTCCTTCAGTTTCAAGTTGTCAAGAGAACACTGATTATACACTAGCTACTAATATGACCATGGTATAAACAATCCCTAAACCTCAGCCCAAGTTCCTTTTCTTCCCAATGCTTGACAAGTGGCATAAGCCATGTGCTCTTGGGGTTCAGGTTCACATGGCCATTTCGGAGATCTCTGTACAAAAATAAAGCTTGATGGGCGGGAGTGGTGCCCCATGCCTATAATCCCAGCACCAAGAAACTGAGGAGGATCACCAGGAGTTTGAGATCAGCCTGGGCTACATAGTGACCAGCCTGACTGAATCACACAGCGAGATCCTGCCTCAAAAAACCAATAAAGAAATAAATGGGGCTGGTGAGATGGCTCAGTGGTCTAAAAGCACCTACTTAGAACAAGCTTAGCAAAGCACAGGGACCACAGTTCAATCCCCCAGCATCACATGCCAGCCAGCCCCGCCCCCTGGTGGGCTGAGCTGCCCCCCCCACATAAATAAAATTTTAAAAAAATTAATTTAAAAAGAAATAAATGAATAGAGCTTGGAGGTTAGGGACACTTCATGTATCACAAATGACCTTGGCTCTCATGCAGTCCTGATAAAAGCTGCTTTCCTGAGAAATAAAAGCCAACACAAATGTAAAGTGACCGCACCGGAACACTGGTGACGCCAACTATCCTGTGTTATCAAGGGTGGAAGGCCAAGCACAGAACCAAGGCTCATGGCCTGTGGAAAGGGGTGGACAATGGAGAGTGCTGCACAACTGCTAGCTCTCCAGATTCATTTCCTAAGAAGTCACAGCCCTGACCTTCAGCTAGTTCAATGTGCCAACAGTTCCACTCTCCTCACTACAGGGGCAAACGTGGAATTAGGGTTATAGAACCTAAAGTGGATATAATCAAGTAAATAAAATGCAGTGAATTCTGGTACCATCACTAGGGCACTTACCTAGCATGTATGGGGCCTGAGGCTTGATCTCTAAAAAATTTTTTAAAAGAACCAAAGTTAACTATAGATTTTAAAGAATTAGAGAAAAACACTAAAGATTTTTTTTTTTTTTAAACTACCTCTCTAGCAGCCACCTGTGCCCAGCTCAGGATGTTACAGCCTCAACTACCATACAATCAGCTACCATGAAGCAGCTGGACTGGGACCATACAAGTGCCTGAAGGGCCCTCAGAAACCAGAATTGCAACCTCACAAGACCCTGGCATGCACATAAAGCAACAACAGGAGCCCTGCACCACTTATGGCGCCAAGACTGAGAAGCAGCCTAGGTGCTCATGAATGGACAAAGGCATGAAGAAAATGTGGCATGCCCATGATGGAGTACTACTCAGCCAGAAAGCAAGCTGGAATTACGTCATCTGCAGAAATAGATGGAACTAAAAAACACCAATTTAGCTGTAATAGACCAGACTGAGAAAGATATGCATGGCATGTTTTCTCTGACATGTGGAATCTAAGATAACATGTAAGAAGGGGGACTGCTAAAGGGTTATCCAGGAGGGTAAAAGGGGGGATATGACCAAACTATATGGCTAAGAGAAACAGCACACTGAAGTCCAGTAGTACACTTTGTAAAATCACTAAGTACTTACAGAGCATTAAAACACATCATGAGAATGTTCTCAAAGGTAACTGGCAGTTCCCCAGGCCATCAGGCCCCCAACGACATCCTCCAGTACTAAGTTAAATGACCCAGATAGGACAACAAGTCCCAGTAAGTAGTTCCAGCCACTCCAGAGGCTAAGGAGAAAGAACCCAAGTTTAACACCAACCTAGACAACTTTAAGACCTTGTTTTTTGTTTTATTTTATTTATTTATTTAGCGGAACCGGGGATTTAACTCAGGCCCTTGTGCTTGCCAGGGAAGCATTTATTCTACTGAGCCACCTCCCCAGCCAAGACCTTATTAAAAAAAAATATAATAATAATAAAAAAACATTTTTAGGGCATCTACTTTCGCTGGACTCTGGAGGATTTGAAGATAATAACCACATAATACATAATCCCAAAGTAAGTTTGTATTTATTGATGTCTGAATTTTGCTTATTGAAAATTTTATGTTTAGGATGCCTAAATGTTTTCCTTGAAACACTCAAGATTTGTAAGTTAGGGCAACTAACTCTCCTTTTGTCCTTCCTCTTGGACAGAAGCTTTCTTTCCCTCCATAAACATATTCTCCTCTTAAAAAAAAAGGCTATTAAAACGCTTAGTCGCTAGATCCGCATCTGAATCCTCACTCCACAGTACTCTGATTCAACGTTCAGTATTCCTTCTTATGCTTAGTCAAGGAAACCAACATCCTCTAGTCCTCTTCCACAGTACTGTGCTCAACAAAGAAATCACCAGGTCCAGAGAGGGCATCTCAATTCCTCTTAGAACTCCACTATCTAGCCTTGCCACTAACCCCAGAGCCTGTCCCTGACCATCCTGCCTAAGTGGCCATTACCGGTCTTCCTGTCTCTCAGATCCTGTACAAGTCATCTGTAAGAATCAAACGTAGGGCTGGTGAGATGGCTCAGTGGTCTAAAGCACCTACTTAGAACAAGCTTAG